AAACACAATATGCGGTCAGAAAATGTTATCAAAATATCTTCATCTTAACTTCAAACATGTGAGAAGATAGAGAAAAGCCAACCAGATCTACTACTGGTGCTCCGTGAAGGGAGCAATTTAAAAAATTTTGGAAGTGAAAAGGAGAAGCATCTTGTAATGAACAAGAAAACCCATTTCGTAGCATCAACATAATTCGAAGGGAATCAGAATATGCATATATAGATAATCTTCTTGGAATAAGTAAATATTACATGTCCAATAGAAACAAGGCAGATCTTCCAGAAGCAGTTCTTCAACCAAGATCAAAATTAAAAGATATTTACAAGTTCCTCTAAGATCTATATACATAGTTCAGGATGACTTGCACTTCAGCGGCTTCCAAAAGTATTCTCTCCACTGTAAGTCATATATAGGAAACCATCTTCATCTTTGTTTTCCTCATAAATTGCAGACATCATAGCAGCTGCAGTAAGAAGACAGATAAATATCAAGAAAAGAAAGGCCAAATTGCAAGTATGTATTTTAATCCTTAGTCATATTAAGACTCATAAAAGTAGAGAAGATATAAAACTCAAGTTCCTTCTTTACCAGTTGGAGGGAGAATGTTCTTGACAAAGATGAATATGGCCTTCTCAGCACTGAGCTTAATCCTCTTGCGGACAACATAGACAAATTGCCCAACTGTCAGATCAGCAGGCACCAAATACCTACAGATGACCAGAGTTAGAGAAAAGTGCGATAGCTGGGAAAGAAGGCTGCAGAAGCATGATGAGTAAAAGATGAGAAATCATATGCTGAAGGTGAAGAATCAGCTGAACTCATGATGACCATAATCAGAAGAAAAGAATTTCCTCCACTTGTTCTTCAGTAAGGAAAACAATAACCAACTTTATATTTGTAGGAACAATTTAATATTTTCTTGTTACAAGCAAAAGGCACTTCAACACTGAAGAGGCTAGCTACTCCAAGTAAGAAATTAGACACATTGATACAATTACCAACTCATCATATGAAGGCAAACATGTGAGATTATGAAGTGACTAACTTTTTCTTGTCAATGTCAGGTATATCACTCTTTTCAGCCTTTTCCACAATGACCTGCAAAGCAAAAACAAAGCAACGACATTAACACAGAATACAAGTATCAGCTATTGCGAAAGGTACAATCTTGCGAGTACATCAGACAGTGATTTCTTCAGTACCGGAATTCTATCAGGGTACTTCTCCCTGATTCGAGCTGCCTCAGCCTGTCGCCTTTCTGGAAAATCATATAACCATATCATATACTATGGAGAATCATAAGATGGGAAAAAATCAGAGAAGGAACATGTTTTACTTACTAAATAAACAGTAAAAGAAAAAACAAAACAAACAATAACCATAGGCCTAATGGCAATAAAAAGCATCTCATATTTCTTGTAAATACACTAGTACTAATACAAAATCTGTTCGTCCGTAAACTGTAGAAGACCAACTTTTTCATCATCTTTTTCAGCAATATCTTGACATAATTCATTGACTATTAATCTTTTTTCCTTTAACTATCAAAACAAAAAAACGCAATATGTTCTATGTGCACAATCTCAACTGCAAGAAAATCAAGAACCCGTTAAGACAAATAGTTGTCAATCTCAGCGACTATCAATCAACAAGCTAAAAAGCACAAAAGGATCACCAATTCAATCGATCCCAAATAGGAAATCACCAATAAAAAGCCACTTAATTATGAACAAAAAGTATAATCCAATCAAATCAAATCAAGATACCGAGAGGGTGCTCGAGCTTGAAGGAGCTTTTGGCCATGATGACGAATCGACGATAAATCAAAGCTACCTCTAGGGTTTCGCTAACTGCGATTCGAAAGGCCTGAAAAAACTAAAATTTAGGGTTAAAAATTAGAGCTTTCCCCTTTATCTTTATCTTTTTTTTATTCCCTTTCCAAGAAATAATCGAATTAAAAGTAAAAGATTGAGAAAGGCGTTAAACAAAAAAAAAAAAAAATTTCTACCTCGAGAGATCCAGACGGCGGTTTAGTTGTCTGATCAAAGGAATAATTACAGAACTGTCCTCTCAAACTGAAAATTGGGGAGGTTTTGATCGCATAAATATAGTTGCTGCCGTGTGGCCTTGCGTCTTGTTTCGCGTTAGAACTTCTATTGCTAAGGGCCTAAGGCTTTCCAAAACGTCGACGTTAGTAGCTTTGCATCATTCGATTAATTACATTATTCTCTTTTGGGTGCGATAATTACAAGTTGGTCCTTTAAGTAGCCAACAATTTTTAGCTACCCAAAAATATATCAATTTGACCTTTTTCACTACATAATTTTTGCTTCAGTTTGGCTCTTGAATGATGATATAGATTGATTAGTCGTCCAATTACTCAATGATGGATAAGCGATATATACAATTACAATGTCCCAACTGTATAATGCAATGTAGGTATCCATCATATATCAAACGTACACACTAATATAACAAGTATAGATAATGACACCATAATTCGTAAAACTACAATAAATCTTGACACTTCAAAAAAATTATGTTTCCTGTAATCAATCTCATCCAACCCAATTTCAAATTAAATCCATTTTTATCATTAATTGCACTCTACAATCAAAATTGTAACTGTAGGAGCCCTAATCCCTCAATGAGGGCTGATCTATGGTGTAGGTGATGATTGAAGTTGAAGAAAATATGGAGCATACAAACTGAGAAGGATAAATAAAGTAAACTAATATGGAAATTCCAAAGATGATTTACAAGAATAAGAGTATCTGGTATTCATACTAAATTTCATTTTGTCCCCTTCCCTTTTGGGGATTATGAGTTTTGTTGATTGCTAGTACCATTATACTAGAGATATGCACCTAGAAGTATCAACTTTATGGTATGACCATTGATTAGTTAAGGGAAAAAGTCTCAATAGCTCTCCAACTCTTTTCCAGGTAAAGTTTTAGCCGTTCAACAATTAATAATAAAGTTTTGACCCTCGATCTAATAAAATAGCATATTCGTGGCTCTTCTGTCAAACCCAACAGTTAAAATTGACGGGAAACATCATCTCATGAGACGTGCGACCAAATATCAAAAGTATTATAGTCTCTAAATAAAGACAGAGTAAAAACACTTTCACCGATTTTTCCTCCAACAATTTCCACCCCTTTTGCTCTAAAACCCTAGTGCGAAAAAATCAGATAACTCAATCCGGATGCTGCAGCGAAAGTGCTAATTGCCAGCGTTGGAGAGGTTGTAAAGGCAGAAATGGAGTGGCAAATACGGGAGAATATTGCAGGGATTTGCGAGTATATATCGGTGGTGGTGTTGAGAGATAATTGGTGGCAGCTCTAACCTTCGACAAGGAGTCATCGCTTGGAAACAAGGGAGCAGCTTTTTGGGTCGCCGGAGCTGAGGGATTGGAAGATTAAAGCTAAGCACTCGTCGGGAATCTTGGAGGTATAATCTTGCCCATCCCCGAAAATAGGGAGAGTAAGCTGAGCAATGACGTCGGTGGAAGAGACGGCGTCCGGTTGATTAGCGGTGATGCAGCGGCAGTGGCTGGAAGTCGGGCTTGACCTACCCGGTGAGTATACATGTATAGAAGCAGACTGACCCATTATCCGGAGAGAGAGAAAATGAAGAGCTTATGCGTCTTTGGTCATATGTTATTAACTTAATAGTCCGGCAAGGACTGTGGAAGTAACACGCTGGCGGTGTGATGGGATGGATGGACTCCGTTGATTTCCTTTCCTTATATGGGGGCTTTGAGAAAATCCAATTCGCACATAGAATAGAAAAAATTGGGCAATGGGCTTCTCAAGGAGTTGAAATTGGGTCTAGCCGGAATGTTCATTTGAAGATTTTCGAATGCTGCAACGAAAGTACTAATTGCCAGCGTGGGAGGAGTTGTAAAGGCAGAAATGGAGTGGCAAATACGATTTCCGGAGGGAAAATCAGTAGTGAAAGTGTTTTTGCTCTGTCTTTGCTTAGAGACTATAATATCCTTGATATTTGGACGCGCGTCTCACGAGATGATGCTTCCCGTCAATTTTAACTACTTGATTTGACAGAAGGGCCACAAATATGCTATTTTATTAGATCGAGAGTCAAAACTTTACCGTTAATTGTTGGAGGGCTAAAACTTTACTTGGGAAAGAGTTGGAGGGCCATTGAGACTTTTTTTCCATTAGTTAATGAAGGACAACATGCAACCTTAACAACCTTTTAGTGGCCAGAGTTAGTTTGGCCTCCGGGAGGTCCAGTCCGAGTTTAACTAACTAGGACATCGTACTGCTTTTCTATCAGATGGCATATGAATTCTGCCGAGAATGCAAGGTCTATAATGAATGTCGCCTTCCTTCTGCTGCTATCACCGGTGGGAGTAGCATCCAGCTAAGTCGATTGTGAAAAGGAGCCGCAAATCCTTAGCAAATTATTTATCTATCCATATGTCATTAGATATGAAGTAATTGCATGTTAGATATACGAAGTTTGTGGTCGGAGAGGTTTTGGTTTAGCGACTAAGATTGAAATCTCAAGAATTGTTCAAGTAAATGATTCAGCGACTAGAGTTGAAATCTCAAAAATAGCAGCCAATATAGTAGTGTTGTTTTGGCGGCCGGTGAAAACGGCAATTGTGAGAGATCAAATGGACCTCCTAATTTGCCAACAACGAGTCCTTCAGTGCTTTGATACAACAATATGCCATTAATTCTCTTAATGATTTTTATAATCAAACGTAATGTAGATTATTGGCATAATATAACCGTATCAAGGGGAGATTAGAGGATGAAATAGCTCTGCAATTCAAGAAATTTGTCTTAATTCCTGTTTCAGATGAATTCAGTTTTACGAAACACTTCTTTTTTCTTGGATTGTAATACGTTCCAAAACTTGGTGGAAGAAGCATACTTAGCAGTTACAACATAGAATCAAAAAACTAGCGAGTAATTCCATAGCATCATATTTACTGGTAGCATATCAAAATCTTGATCATATCCCAATTTGGTCCGCTTTGGATGCATTTCTCATTCGTATATATATAAGAGGTGAGATAAACAGAAAATCAGTCGCCGAGAGAGTGGCTATGTAATTTTCCCATTTTCCTATTCCACCAGCAAAAATACCTACCGGTATTCAATTGAGGGATAATCATGGCTTGATTGTTTATGGATCACAAGGCAAGAAGACATGATCTACAGTTGTACACAACAAAAAGAGATGGAACCCAGAAAAAGAAAAGATTTCAGGTTCGTTCTTCCTCAGACTCTTTAGAAGAAAGGGTAGGAGGACCAAATCTGCTGAAGAGCCTATAAGCTGAAATAACAGCTAAGAGGAGAAAACACCACAGGGCTACAACATGGAATCCCAAAATCAGCTTCATTCTGTGGCAAAACCTTCCATAAGAAGTACAAGCTTCGCTCCATGTAACCTTCTGGTCACCGTTATATGCCAAATATAGAATTTCCCCCAGTGCAGCCATCGCTGTAACCATCAAGTATGCAACCACCTGCCCCATTTACATATCACCCCCATTTAATGCCGTGTCCATAAACAAAATAGACAATGCAAGATAAAAACAATGCATTTATTGCGTTTGCTCCAACATTATGGGAGTCGTTGGACAGATCCTCAAGGCCACAACAACATATCAAGGGAATCAATTGCACAGAATTTACTGCTGTTGGACAACAAATTTGTTCTCGAGTTTTAGTACTACTTTGTTACACCTTTTAAGGTTGCAATTGAACTTCACCAAACCTATTTCCCCTTCGCTAATAAATTGAAGAAGCCAATTAAATAACCCATGCCCCATTAGCTCAAAATCTTGATAACCTTTGTAAGTAGCATACATACTTAGTATCCAATTTCAAGTGCTAAGAGCAAGTGTTTGATGGGATTGGTTGAAATCTGTCTTAAGGATTCCAAGTGGAGACATACCTGATCAGATACAAAGAAGATCCATGCTTTACCAACCAAACATCTGACCCACAAAGAAACAGCAGCTAAAAGAGCATATCCAGCTGATACTGCGCTGATGTAAACCATGTACCTGCAGAAAAGCTTGGATTTTTAACATATTGACCACGCGAAAATCATCAGAATCAAAGAACTTGAGAAAGATATATGGTCATATTGCTAATTACTTGAGCCCCATGAAGTAGCTAGAGACCAATTCCCCATAGCTGCTGTTGTCTTGGTGGTTGGTGAGGGTTAACCAGATAGCTGCAATGCTAAAAGGAACAAGAAACAACCTTAGAGCACAATCCAGGACTTTGAGCCCGGATACATTTTCCTCAAAAATCCCCATTTTTTTTATGACAAAAGCAAGAGAAATTGAATAAGCCCTTAAACTTCAAGGAAACAAGAAGTGAGTGGTGTTATCAGGGAAAGAATAAACAGAAGATAAGTAGAAGCTTTGAGTATGAACCAGCAATAGACACATATCAACTGCCTGATCACTTGTACATATGTAAATAATTTTCTCTGGAGATTGAACGGACAGTAGCCAAGCAGCAGCCAGGCTTGTTGAGCTCACTTTGCTAGTGGGAAGAAAGAGAAGCAGTGGATAGCCTTTTCAGTAGAAGAATGATGATCCAAGGGTCGTTGGTTTTGTTATCTGGCAGAAATGGCATCATTGATTCCACACAGCTTCAAACCTTGCATTTACAACTACTACTGCCACAGTCCTAGTTACTAGAAATTTATTTCTGACCTCTCCACTATTCTTTTATTCTTATTTTTTTTCAGACACGACAACTATTGTATAACCTAATCTATTCTACTCTAAGGGGGAGGGGGCGGACCTAAGGAGGCTCAGGAATAATCCGAAGGAAACTAAACCACCACCGGACCAAACGGATGCACAACACACCCACCTGAATTTTTTGAAGCAAACCACTTAAATGTGACATTTTGATAGGAGGCAAGATACCAAGCTAGGTGGTGGCCACCAGCCCCTTTGGGCTGGTGGTTATTCTTTTATTCCTTTTTATCTTTTTACCAAGGCGTATTTCTGACTTTTGAAGTATTACTCCTCTAGTACTATTACTTTGGCGAAATGGAAACTACGCCACACTACTTTCCAGTCTCTTTAAGCCTCAGGCACTTTGGTTAGTCTTCGAGGTCAAAACAGCCAATTAGTTTGCGATAACCTTTCGGATAAGACAGCGTCCTAACCTTTACTTCTCTTCTGGCTGTTTTAACATTGAGATCGACCCTCAATTGTCTCTTTCGACACGATCCAAACGCGAATTGTCAAATGCAGAATCAGATCAGATTTTGAGAAACTGGCAAGTAGATGGAGAGCATCACATTTCCACTGATGAAGCAACAAGACACTCGCATGATCGCTTATCGTAGACGTTTATTGAGTTTCGGCAGTCTTAAGAGCTGCAATCTGAACTTGTGCATCTTTTGACACCAAAGAATGGTTGCCTACAATTAAGTTGTCTCTTGGCAACTAAATGATCTTACTCCTGAACAAAAAAAGGAGTTGATCTCCCATCAAATGGGTTGAGGCCAAGTTTAACCCCAATTCCCAGAAGAAAAAGAAAAAGGAAGAAAGGAAAAAAAATAATGGTAAAAAAAAAAAAAATCTCTCATGCTTTACATATCGATATAACATACAATTACCTAAAGGGCAATATCTACAACACAAAATTCTCAATGATCAATTTGCATCCTCCAGAGTTTGGATGATATGCTCCATGTCAAAAGACTGCATTCCATAAAGCATTCTCACCTTCTCCACATCTCCGGTGCACCTCCTTAATCCTCTCTACAGAATTGCAAATCCCACTGCACCGCCAATCGAAGGAAGCAACACAGATGTTGCCTGCCTGAGCCTTCCACTCACAATCTGGGTCAACATTAACAGAAAAAATATCAAACCATTTGAGTCTTAAAGCTTGTTCAAACTCTTGTCCAACACTGGGTAGCACCCACTTAACTGATCTTGTTCTTTACACTCTTGCTTTTAACAAGCACAATTCTTTTCTTCCTCATTTTTTCTCCTTTCGGATGGGCAGGGTGCTGATCAAGCTGGGTTTTTAAACAAAATATTTACATATTGGTAGAACTCCGTAGAGTTCAGACTCAATTTACAGGAAGCCATTCACTAAAAAAGACCTATTTCAAATAGGTCTAGTCATTGTGTTAAAGTCCACTGCAGTGTGCCTCGTGTCTTTGGAGCATTGTAACCAACAGATTACAAATTGATTATTCAACAAATAGGCTCGTATAACCTTACCAGGTGGAGTTCCACAACATAATCGCCGATCATCTATGTGCTCCACGTCCAAACCAATGAACCAAGAACCTAGCGAGACGTCCTCATTGGCATATTTGTGAAGCACGTGCCTTATATGAATGAATATACACGATTAAAAGAATAAGGTTAACACATACAAGGCGATGCCATTGCAGCAGTACTATAATGAAATAAGATGCTTACTGGTTTATTGAGATATAAGTAGCCAAATCTTTTGAAATAGCATATAGCTGACCGGTAGCATGACGGAAGTACTTGTTTCCATCCTCTCCAAACTTCCAATGCTCAGGTTCGTGATATCTCACTCCCCTGTTGGAGGAGACAAAGGTTAAAAAACAGGCCACTATCATCATAAATGTACTATCAACATCATTTGGAAGAGCAGTTATGTGGTAGTATCATACTTTTGAGCAAGAACGGGCCCGGACTTCATGCACCCTATGTAAACCCTGGGTTTGGAGAGATGTCTGGATAGAGTTGCTCCCAGGGTTCCTGCAATTGTGCACAAGAACATAGTTATTCAAGTAAATTGAAAACTAACGTCTTTCGAAAATGTTTCCCACAATGGCAATGATACACAACATTTTGAATATACAAGACAAATGAAAGTTTTTGGTTATATAAACAAGAAAGGAAGAATTTACATTGCCACCCAAGTTTCCAAATGATAAACCAAAAAAATCAAATCTTTTACCTATATTCACATGAACATCATCATCAACTTTCACATAGAAATCTGCATCCCACAGGGCAACAGCAGTAGTGAAGTATGACTTGGTCTTTGCTGACAATTCAAGGTATCCCTCAACATGTTCCTATTAAAGCATAAAAATGGAAGCATCAGTGAGCTGTCTTCTCAGATGTTCATGTACTTTATGAAAGTCGCAAAGCAGCAAATTACATTAAGGTCATTACAAGGCAGGCTGGGCTACAGTATATTCTGATCCAATACTGAACAGCAATGCATATCAAGCAAAAACTTAATTAAGGAAAATTGATCATACCAGCCTCAAGATGTCCCCGTGTTTTTTTTCTTCTGCTTCAATAGCTCTATCAAGAATACCACCTGATGTAGCACTGTTGAATAGGCGAGTAAGAATCAGACTTCAGTGATCCTTATTTGCCAAAAAATGAATTGCATCTTGGGAAATTCAAATGATTGTGTAGTATTTTTTCACATTATTCTTTCATAATAAAAGGCACTTCCATGATTATCCTAACAAGTAGCATCAACAAAATTATCACATAAGTTTTTGAAGTGGAAACATAGGAAGAGAACAAACTAGTGGAAACAGGTCAACACAACATCCAGCAAAAAAATCTCTCTCACCTGTGACCTATTACAAAGCGGATTATAATGCCCTTTTCTTCTTCAAGCTTCTTGCGTCTGTCACCTGTTTTTACAGTGTCAGCAATTCATCCACACACCCATTCAATTTAATAGAAGAAGAATTCAAAACCCAAACACAAACTGTCTTAATATTCAGAAACCTTGCGGCATCCAGGTAGCACGAACAGAGTCTCTTCTTTTCCTGCTGCTAAAAGCTGTGTTAATGCCTACAACCATGAGATATTTCCTTCTCTTGATCAATTCTGGAATCTTCAAGTCCCCAGACACTGGTGAACCAGTAAGTAGGGAATCTTGCAAAGCCCTTGCAGCAGCTAATTCCATCTCCAAACTTGAAATTGTTTTATCAAGTGTTCTGAAAATCCGTACAAAACTTTGAAATTGCATGTCTACTAAATTAATGATATCTAAGGTAAACAAGCATAAGGAGCTTACTGTATGCCATGATGCGTCTTTGACACTTCTCCCGGAATATCGTTGGACTTACTTTTCATATTCTAGTAGCAAACAGGAATAGGAAAGCAGAACTTAGTCCCCACAAACCTCTTTACAAAGTCACTGATGACTAGTAACTCAACATCGTACATGAAAATGGATTGACTGTGAGCTTATTATAGCACTCAGTGACAATCTCCAAGCTCAAAATGAGAAACTTAAAATGCAGTCCTCAAAATTATTTAAGTACTCACATTTTTACAGTCCTCCGCAACTAGCTTTAGTTTTTCGTCTTCAACTGATGATGTCCTTGATATACCTTTAGCTTCTGGGACCGTCCACATTCTAACATCACAAAAATTCTAATTAGGGACACAAACAAAACAAGCAACTCTACATAGGAAGTTGCCATGTGCGAACCCAGGCCATATTTTTTCACCAGTGTAATTATATAGTTATTGTGGAATTGAATGGAACTTCACAAGTTTCTGAACATCAAATTATGTCACTTTCGTCCAATCTTCAAGTTCTTGAAACTCCTTTTTAAGGAAAAATGTTTTAATAAAACCACCAAATCAAACTTTCTTTCTTAAACTGAAATCATCAACTAGAACGCTTTAAGCCAGCAAAACATGAAATGATCTAATGGAAGAGAACTGGACTTTTGCCATTTGCGCCAGCTGCAGATTAACCTGCTCTATGGGTATGTCTTCTCCGTTTGTAACATGAGGCACTCCACTTGCAGGTGTTGAACTTTATCTTCTTTTTATTTACTTATTAATTAATCTGAAGATGTTGAACTCAGGAACTGGCACAATGACAAGGAAGATAACCCACAACCTTATTTAGCATCCAAATAAAGACGATTGTACTGAAACCGATGGCAAGATCCTAACACCAATATGCACAACTGTTATACAAATTCTCGTGTCTCTGGCCACGAGAGTTTTCTGCACCGAAAAGCAACTAAACCATACATACTATCAATACGAACTCTAGAAAACCGACGAAATTAATACTTTTTATCACCAAGACACTCAGTAACCAAAAATGGGACTTTGGAACAAAGAATAATCTTTTCTATTGAAAATTTACCACTCAGATGACCAGATTTACAAGACTGATCCAAGAACGACCAATTCAAGTAGTTCTGATGCGCATTTAAATTTTAAAGGGAAAGAGAATCACTAGAAATGTAAAGGAAGATAAGATAAATAAACCTGTCGGTGAAGAGCATCCCGGCACAGAAGCATCCAATACATAGCCAAACTGTTAGTCTTCGAGAGACAACACTTTTATAACTCGACTCTGCTCCTCCTCTGCTCTTCCCAGACATTATGCTATTCTTGCATAATCAAATTCGATGTAAGATTTGAAATAACCCAATTCAAATCTCACGGCTGACTTAGCTGAAGGAAACTCAAGAATAGATTATAAAGTTCAAGACTTTAACTTGAATTCCAATCAGCCACTTCCACAAACCACCGAAATCAAGCTATACCCAATTCAAAATCTGGTTTACCTAAAAAACCCACTTCAAATCTCAACTGAACTATGCTAAAACCTCAACTTTGGACCACGAAGTTCAAGTCCTTCACTTCGATTTCAATCAGCCCTATTGCCACAAGCTACGTGCCCCAGTTCAGTTTCTAATGCACACAGCTCGACAAAAACCGATGAATTCTCTCTTTCTCTGAGCAAAAGATTGAAGAATGTAAAGGAAGAGAAAATCCCAAATCAGGACCAGATAAAAAGCATTGGCCTTTTTTCCAATGCGCTAACCAACTAATTTGTTTGTTTGTGTGACATTTTTTTTTCTAGTAAATGTCTAAAATATATCAAAGTTGGAAACTTCCGGTAATATACTAGTAGTACTAACTTAGAGCTCTAACATTCTAGGTGGAGGAGGAGGA